GGGGGGGCCTCTCGGAATATAATTCGCAGACTGGTGAAAATGGGTGCTCTCTGACACTATATGTTTGATTGAATCTGTTTTCTTCTTTTTTTTTTTCTCTGGTATGCTCTGGAACCGGCTATGTTCGATAATGGGCCGAGTCTCCGGACACTTAGCTAGGATTTCGTTTGAAATTTCTCAATGCTATGAAAACTGGAACACGTCTTAAAGAGGGCGGGTTCCGGGAAACTGATGGGGGTAACGAGTGCGATTTGCTTCGTTAAAATCGATGGTGTAGCCACTTGAACCGATAATTGATCTGTTATTATGTAGTAGGAGAGATAAACATGACCGTCGAGGGAGAGCATATGAACGCACGCACACACACCACACGACACACACACACACACACACACACACACACACACACACACAACACACACACACACCCACGCGCTGCGCGGCGCGTGCGCATACCACACACCTAACTAAACTTAGGACAGAGGTCACTCAGCGGGAGAGGAGCATCGTCCGGCCAGCGAATACGCATACGCATACGACTCCTACCGAACACACGAATACCACGATATACGCCGCCCGTACGATGTCATGCTCGCTCGCGCTCAGTCAGCAGCAGACTGGCTTTGTGGCTGGCTCGCTCGCTGACGTGCTAATATCGATCGACGTTCACAACACATTCACGACACAACAGCACACACACCACACACACACAACCGCATCACACACACACACAGCACACACACCACACACCAGCACAACACAACACAAACACATTACACACACACACACAATACGCACACAACAACAGCAACACAACGACACCACACACACCAACAACACAACCAGTCACACACACACACACCTTTCGCACACTACACGCTATGTTAGCACGAACGCACAGACCACGATCACAATAACCTCCCCGTCTCCGTGCGGCCGGAGGTTGCGTCTCACGGCTTAATCAAGATGGTCTATTTCATGTAAGTGTGGTCTTCCGTATTATATTTTTATTACGAGGCGGTTCCGTCTGTGACGTTCGCTATAGCGTGTGTAATTATTAATTTATAGTTGTTAAACACCCTTCAAAGGATATGGTATCCCTTTCCGCCGTGGAAACAGCATCATTCGCACAATTTTGAGTGGTCCGCCAAACTTGGGACCTCACCAAGGAGACATACACACTCATTGACATCGCATATCATCAAATTAAGCAAGGTTTTATATATGGACTTGAATTTCGATACACTTACATTTTTCGATTTTTCGAATTAAAGTTGGATCCGCTTGTAGGTACTACATCAATCATTTTTATGGCGATCCCTTTATTTGCTAGACATTTCTTTTCTTTCTTTTACCTTTGGTCTTGCTAAATGCCATGGCGGGGTGGGGTGACCCCCCACTCCCAATCCTATCATTTGCAACGGATTGTGCAAGGATAGTTTTCTTTTTTTTTTGTTTTCTTCTTTTCCTTTTTTTCTCTTTTTCTTTTTTCCTTTTTTTTTATTTCTTTTCTTTTTTTTTTCTTCTTCTTTCCTTTTCTTCAAATGTAGTTGGTGGCTGGCGACAGCGCCTCCTGGCCCCCCTTGTGGCGACCTTGCCCCCCCCCCCCCCCCCCCCCGCCCATTGCCTCACGTAACTTTTTCGCCGCGGCCTGCATCTGCCAAAACTATTAGTTTGTTCGACAACATACGTTAGAAGTCATTGTATACTCACGATAATTTGATAGCTTAGAAATTCTAAGCTTAGGCCTGTCATATAGCGTTAGCCATTTGGACTGTGCATTGTAGAGTATTGTGGTTGTAGTATTTTGAGAAGAATATTGAGAAAATACCAGTAAATGCATTAAAGTTCCGATAAATAAATGTACCGATAATTTAAATGAGCAGTACGAACATTATCGGCCTATCAGTGATTTTTATCCTACATCGCTTGCTCTCCTCTTATTGTTCCAAACTCCAACGTAAAACATATTCCTTCATTTCATATAGTTGTTGTAAAATTGTCTCTTAATGTGTTCAATAGTTAGACCAGTTGAAATGGAGCCCTAATCTCTTATGGTTGTTTATTTATGATGATTATTTTATTAGGCTTTTATATTAAGTATTCTTCCAAAATCTAGTCTGGTGAGGCAGCTCTCTGTGTTTCAAGCGATATAACCCCATTCAGGGGCGTAGCTTATAGCGTGAAATGGATGTGTACGCACAGAGCGGGGTGGTCTGGGGGTTCCTCCCGAAAATTGTCGAAAAAATGTAAGATTAGGCAGAGATGGTTATTTGAGGCCTTTGGCTAAGTAAATGCTAAGCCTTCATTCTGCTACGACAAATTTTATATTTTTAGTAGAACATATTATCTTCATGAGCAATCAGATGTTGATCACTAAATCACTATAACTAATATG